AACAGTTATTGATTTATCATTTACCTTGCCGAGATGCACCCTCGTCCAGATCTACCAGGCGGTGGTTTGGGTACAATAGCTTCATCTTTGGAGTCGATCGGGTCTGGAACTTCATATTGGTCGTCTTCAGACCACCGTCTTCCCGCCAACACATCATTGCTTGTAAAGGCCTCGACGACATTATCATCGTCTTGACCTGCTAACTCGGTCAGTGTTGGCACACGATAAAAATCACCATCTTCCTCGTCGTTTTCCATGAAACCTCGATGACTCGGCTCGGCTTTATTGAGTCCACTGTAATCACCAGCGGTAATTTCAGTAAGGGTTGGTACGTGGCAAAGATCTTCACTGCCACTGTCCTTGTGTTCTCGGTTTAAAACWGCAGAGTCCTGCTCTGCATTAGCATTGTTAGATTGATAGGTTTGATTTTCACTATATGGCTCTTTGAAGTCCGCTATATTTTCGACAGTACATCGACTACTGTCACTAATTTTGTCAATTTTGTCTTTTTCATTATTTGATTTATTTGGTAATTGTTCACACTCGGTGGCATCAACTGCCTCTTTCTCGAAACTTGAGCTCTCTGTGAATGTTCTGTCGTTCTCAGATATTTTATCACACTCTTTCTCRTCATTTTGTGGGTTGTTTTGGGTATTTCTCTCCTCGATATCCAATTCAAGGTCGACGGCCTCGTACTCGTCATCAAACGAGCTTTTACTYCCTCTTTCTTCATCTGATTCGCACTCACTTTTAGTTTCATCAAAATTTGAAGCAATGTATTTTGATGATGCGACATTTCCARCATCAGGAATCGTCTCGCTGTCTTTCACCTCTAACTCATTCAACGTTTCCTTTGAGACCACAGAAGGACGAATGTGTACCGCATTCTGGGATTCTGTAGAGGAAACATCTTTGTCGAAGTTCACCGAATCTAGTTTATACTCGGCTACGTCGACATGGCAGCTTGCCGACTGGGCAGCATTGTTTGATATCTGCGCGGGAAGCTCGTACTGCATTTGATCTAAAATACTAGGAACGTTAAACAATTCTTGTTGAACTTTAAGTTGTGGTGCAGATGCWGAGGACTTGAGGCGAGGTCGCTCGAGAGATTGAGTTTGACGCTGACCAACCTCGATGTTAAGGTGTTCGACACTCGAAGTCTGACGCCATGACCCATAGCCCAATACTTCGTCACTTGGACCCAGGACATCATCAAAATCAGCGGCCAAGTACAAGTTATGATTTGATACGATAACCTTCTTTTCTCTGTGTCTTATGGGCGTGTCACCTTCCTCTAGGAAATTGACATGCAGCAATGGTGTAGGCATGACMACTGGGTTATCATGAATAACGTCATCATGATCACTCCATGGTGTACATGGGATAAAATCAGCGGCCACCTCATTTTCACCATGCTCAGTAACTACGATTTCTGGAGAATCTTGGCAAACACCGGKTTGTTGCACAAGTGKGGACTCTTCCAGTTGTTGCACCATTGGAGAACCTTCAGGTGTAACTATAAGCGTTTTCTGTGTTGCTTCTGCCGGAGAACTCCCAAGATCCAYCGCGGCATAATTCGATGGTCCATCGTTGACGTCGTTACCCTTTTCAAAAGCTAACTTAGTAGGAGTTTCCATTTCCATGAATTCCTGGCCATTGATTTCTTGGCCATTTCCATGATCTGGTGTTTTTGATGGTGTGATGAACGATTGCTGGACTTCTTTAACAATTGCTGATATCATGCCATTGGCTTCAAGATTTTTATCACTGATGACCTGCTTCCCCTGAAAAATAAAATCAGATCACATATTGAGGCAAAGATAGGAACAATCATAGAAGACAATTAAGCGATTCCATATTTTTAGAAAAATAAGTCCGCGTTTAGCTTTTAAGAAGCTCAATTATTCTTGTGGAGGAATATCAATTTAATATTCTACAGCTTGACCCTAATCCTAATTAGAATCCAATAAGCGCTGAACGCTATTTGAGAGAAGGATCTTGTGCATCATTATCATTATGTTTTCCYTAATGTGAACGMACAACAGCCTTACAGCGCTCTTCCGTAAAACTGTTTTCAAGGAATTGCAAGAGATCGTTCTTGTTAATCATCCATCATTCATGAACACGGCACTGATCTGACTGATATACACATAGAAAGCTCTCAAATTTTCTTATATTTAAACTTATTGTTTATAAGGATGAGCACTAAGATTCGAACCAGCGCTATCATTTTTCATTACAGATATCAGCTAAATTAGCATTTAATAGAGAGCCCTCGCGGTAGTGAGGTGTAGGATCTAAATATTCGCTTGTTAGGGACCGCTRTCTTTTGCTAGTTTACCATAACCATGGAGTTTGTACAACTTATCTCATAACCTTWAGTATTCCTCACAGTTCTCTGCCGTGAGAGGTAGCAAAGAATTTGCATCGAAGCGAGAAAAGCAGTGAAGTCTCAATGACAGAAACGTATGAATTATACCCTGGTTCCAGAGGCTTCTTTTACTTACTAAGTTGTCCAGCCGCGAAAGAAAAAACAAACCGATTTTAATTAAAATGGAAACGCCTCACCGCTTCGTAGCTCGACAACATATTAAGCACTGAAAAGAATAAAAGACAAGCATCTGGAACCAAGGTATATCAATCATTGTCTAAAGTTGAGAAAAGAGGTACCTAATATTGTATAACGCTAAAYGGTCATCTCTCTAGTTTTCAAAATGGCGCAGGGAACTGTGAACAAGACTTTTACAAGAAGGCCGTCATCAAGGAAGAGTTACAGAAAAATGAATTCCTTACTGAGACCAAAGAAGACTGAGATATTGACCTAGTTGCATCAACCTCGGGAACCCAGGGATAATCTTCTGTCGTTTGTTCTTCACTCCCAGAAAAAATACCCCTGGGTACGAAGTCTGTTAGACCTTGTTCTCGATTCGAAATTCAAAATGGCGGCCGGAAAATCTCTGATTGGTCGAGTGATTCACTCGAACATTCTGATTGGTTGATTAACTTACTGGCCACCATTTTGAATTTCGAATCGAGAACAAGGTCTAACAGACTTCGTGCCCAGGGGTATTTTTTCTGGGAGTGAAGAACGAACGACAGAAGATTACCCCTGGGTTCCCGAGGATGTAGTTGCATTTGTTTACTCAATAAACGGCAAAACCAACTTGAATAGTGATCTCAATAGGCAATATGCAGGGACGCTGCGCTAGGTCTGTAACTCACGACCGCGGTCTAGATATTTTATCTATCCAAGAACCTTACCGAGGATGACGATGAAGGAAGAAGTTTAACGATATTATGAGTAATTAACATGTATAGTATTCCTATTTTATGTTTCATCAATCCGTTTTTTTTGCAATTTCAACTATTCGTTTTTTATGTAATCATCATTATTTTATAGTTAATACTCAGGGCTCCCATTGATAGCAGGATCCTGACGGGATTGCTCTAAGATTTTATATTTATTATTATTTTATTAAGTAAAAGTTATATCTATCTATCTATTTATCTTTCTTCATGGATATTTTCGGAGAGCATGCTTTGAAGTGTATTTAATATTCTCCCAAAGCATTTTCGACAACGAATAACGTTTATTTTGCAAAAAAACTGGGTCCTTCATATATTCTATATGACGACCTCCATCTTTTATCAATACCACAACACAAAATACATCAATACTGTTGACAAAATAGAACAAAAAACTACTTTCCCGCCTTCATACTACTTAATGCATATTTTTCATTACTGAACGGCCATAACAAATGGAGGCATTTATCCCTCAGCTTTAGAAACCATTGAATTCAGAGTAGTCATGCAAACAGAGCTTTCAAGTTAAGCGAAGGACGCTATCAACCGGATAATCGTTATCMAGAGGGTAAAATACATTTGCACAGATAATATTAAAAAGAGGCCTAGTTTAGAATGGAAAAATACTGGCGTTTTGGGATTTTTAAATAAATAGCGCCCTCCTCCAGATACCATACAAGCAAAAGGCAACGAAAGAATCAGGCTTCTTTGTTACAAATAAAATATTTCGTTATAGAAAGCACTTTTT